TGTGCTGTTTACCCCCCCCCCCCTCCCCCCTTCCCGTTCGACAGCTCGATGGTCGGAGGAGAGAACTAGGGGAGGGTGGGGTCATATCAAGCCACCTTTTAGGGGAGATCGTACGGACTCAATCAAAATCCCCATTTAATGATGTGCCCTGATCTCACTTTCACCATATAATTCATCATTAAAATACTTAATTAATCAAACTGCCGGCTTGATTGATTTGTCCAATAGCCAACTTATTTCGTCTTTATTCATGCAAGGCCATATTCGAAAAGGTCTGATGGCCCTGGGAAGGCCGTTAGCCCAGTTCACAGCTATGAGTGGAGAGATTCCACTCCAAGTGACAGAAGAAAGCAATCCTCGTGTTTATTGATTGTTTTCTAAAGAATTCCACGAATTGCGACCAGTTTAATGAACGCCGAAAAATAAGATTGACGTATGACGCACGAGGTTCATCACATCCGTCGTTGACGAGAGCAAGCCAGAAAAACCGCACAACTTTAGGTTGGACCAGCGTTGTTGTCTTGTGATCGGCAACTATTTATCACATCCAAATACTCACCCTCAACTTGATGACAATCGCCATTACGGTATTACTGGCCGTTTCTTGATTACCGATTGTATAATCCCATCCGGTGAACACACGCCAATTGAATATGTATTGCTCAGCTTTACTACCGGATAATTTTGACATGCGAGCATTGGCGGCCATTCTGGAAAAGAATTCTGAATGCTCACATATGGCAACTGTTCGAAACACAAAACGTTTCGTATTCTTAAAAAAAAACTGAAAAAATATCAGGAAAGGGTGTATTACAAATAAATCTGCAATGTGGCGAATAATAAGGGCACATCGTACACTCGAAATCCCTGAGATGTGGTAGGCGTGGCTGCGTACTTCAACCAAACGTGGCGGTAGCTATGCTTTTGGTCAATAATTTCATTTTGACACAATTGTGGTCATGTCTCTGTCCAGCAGTGAACAAGATGACGACGTCTCCTACTGAAATATCCCACGAGTAACCCATTCCATGCTATGTCCAAATGCCACGCCTACTCCGTTTCAGGGGTAAGGAGAGTACATATAGTGGTGATGCATTCCACAGGTATTTTTTAGTTTTGCAACTTTATATTAATTCACTCAAGACCATCTGCTCAATATTTATACCATCCCTATACGTCGGGGATCCCCAGAGAGAGGGTCGTATTTAGACGCTGGAGAAGGGCAGGTTGTCATTCGCTCCTGCAGGGTAAACGGTTTCGGTTGACCCGTATTTTTTTGTAACAGGGTACGCTATGACGACCCCTTTCAGCGTCGTAGACAGCATCTGGTAAGTTAGCAGAGCGGGGAAAAGTGGTAAAATTTCCAGGAAGTGGTTAAGAAGTTGGAGACTTCAGGGAGATGGGACGTAGAGGGAACGGCAACGGGAAAAAAACGGAAGAGAAAATCCTGAGGGGGGGGGGTTGTTGTTTGCACAGATTTTCCTCAGCTGTAGGACCTGCTGTGATGACAATACCGAAGCTTTGCTTTTTGAACATTACGAGAAAAGGGTGAAGGAAAATTGTTGGCCCTTTACGTTCGTTCACGTTATCGACCGTTTCCATAAAAGCCGGATCCGTGCACACTGGACGTACCTCTTTGCCACGGCAATGTTTTTTCCAAAGAAAAACAGACGCGCTCGACCAATACTCGTGCACAAGGACGTGAGGGGAAAAATTGAATGCATATAATAACCCTGCATTATTCCAACTCCGTTTTCTAGCGACGAAAATCACTGGCTATCCGAATTGTTTGTTAGTTTACATTTAAAATAATATTAGACCAAAATTGCATTACTGGATTTTTCCGCAGAATCTCATCAAGTGAAAATATGTGGGTTTTTCAGAGGAAAAAACTATCTTTACATGTATCGAAAAACATGGGCTCGGGAAGATAAATAGGTGGAAATTCATCAAAGTGCTAATACGGTATTCAAACATTCCGTCGTTGCCGAAAATGGCCTATAAATCATAAGGAAAGGCGGCTGCCTATTGAAATGTTTCGTAATATTTGGTGAAAAATTAGGCAATGTATGAGCAACTTTACGGCTCAACCATGGTGGATTATGTGGCAAAAAGGAGGTAGTTGCTTGCCCAAGGGCACATTATGGTCCCTGATCGGACGAAATCCATCCTACATTGGAGCAGTTCATGGGATACCAAAATATAAGAGAATAAAGTACACCTATTTACTTGAAATCTTTTGAACCATAGTACAGATCAAGTACTCATTGAAATGAGTATCACAATTCCGAATAGATTTGAGTGCGTGGCGCAACCCAGAACGGTATTGATCGAGCGGAGCTGTATTCATTTATGTTTTATCCGCTGATAAACCATTCATTATCCAAATGGGGGGCCTCATAAATGTGAAATTTATGGGGAGTATTGGTTCAAGAAGAAATATAAAGAAATAGAAATAGAAAGAAGTGTAGTATACTTAAAAAATTAAAATTCTATTGATTAATGATGCCATCATTCGTATAAATAAGCTGCTACACAAGACAAACTCACTTTCGTAGTATGGCGAAAAAACTATAGGCAAATATGAAAATAGTGACAAGGAAATATGCCAAAGGCAACGGATATTTTTGTCCTAGAAATTCATCGTCCGAGTAGTACCCATAGAACAGTGGTGAGTATCGTAGATATCCCTGAAACAGATATCATGTTTGAAAATCTAGTAGGACTCCATACATAAATAATACAAAAGCTGACGTAATATAAATTGTGAAAGCCGATAGGAATAAAGTAGGAACTATATAGAAAATCTGATGGTATGGTCATGGCATCCGAACAGCGGGTAGTGACTGCGAAGCCAGTATACCAGTTTATTTTAATGAATTTTAATCACTGTCTGAGACCCTTTCTGGCTTTCGGGATAACATAATTTTCTATATTCTTGTTAGGGCCAGACTCTTCCTAAGAGGTGTTGGAAAATAGCTCCAGGAATCCAGTCGCCAGAATGGGCACGGACTCAGGATACAACATGGGAACGGGTCAAATGGCGGAGTCTGTAAGCCCTTCAAATTTTCGTTCCAAATTTTCCGAACCACCCAGCTCTCGCAATCTAGCTATCACCCGTACGAAATTTACCAGTTCTCTAGAGAGTTTCCAAAATTCCACCAGTTTTTCCCGAAAATACTGATGGCGAGCAGGGGAGCTCCTCTCTAATCAGCTATCAGAAAAAGTGACTATATCGCATTTTCAGGGGGGGGGGGGTGGCGCCGCCAACTAGGAGAAAGGTGGGAGGGGGAGAGGGTGCAGCGCGTCGGAGACAGGAAAGTCAAAAGTTTCTCCTCCCAGCCCGGAAAGACTTCTCCCTAGGCCAGCTAATACTCCCACCCCTCTCCAACAATTAAGAATGAACCCCTGAAGGGATTCTGCTGACGATGCTATCTATACCGCGCATTCAGTAGAACATCGCTGGTAGGAAAATGAGCAGTCCTGCAGGTAAATGCGCAAGCTATCACATTCCATCCATTCTGTGTCATTAGTAAGCGCTAAGCATGGCGCATTCCAGAAAAAAGGATCAGCGCTAGGGTTTCCAGCAAACTAGCTTCAGGTGAACGCAATGAAAAGGATAAATCTAATGGACTGCCTCCTAGCTTTTATAGAGCGCACTTCACTCGCTGTCTACAAGTACTCAATAATTCTAAGAAGGAACCTGTTAATAAGCTTGAAGATTAGCTTACTAGAATCTGTATCGAATGGGGAAACTGTATGAAGATGAGTAATTGAAAAAAAAACGATTCACCTCAGTTGTGCACGTACTATAACAGTTACTGTGCGTTATGTCACGGATAGGGCACGTCCTGCCGTGGGGGATCTTTCCAAAAAGACGACCCTTCCCCATCCTACCTACCAACCTACCACTTTCCTAGATTTTCCCCAGCTTCTTGCCACTTTCAACTCCCGAATACCTTCCCTAATTTTTCCCCAAAGTTTTGTTGTCAAGCGGGACGGGGGTATATAGCACGTGTGGAACGGGAAAAAGTGCGAAAAGTCAGCCACCGAGTTTTTCCCAACACTACGAGTTTCTCTCGAAGGCAAATACGAACCCCACTCTCTCACAACAAAGAGCGAATACGACCTCTCACAGCGTCCGTGAAACAAAACAAGCATATTCAAGAAAATTCCTAAGATCGAATACGACCCCCCCCCTCCCCTAGCGACCAATATGACCCAAGCCCACTAGGGATTCGCCTACATACGACGTGATCCGGCTGAAAAGGTCCCACTATCAAGCAAGAAGTTTGAGCTCATTAGTGACCGTTGAAACAGTTTGCAGTTCTTTTTTGGGACAATTACCGTTTTACGAAGCCCCGTGCATTTAGGTTTAAATGACTAAACGGTGAACAAATGGTAACATTTCAGTTAATAGTATTATAAACCAAGTGCACTGCACTCATAAATCTTCAAATGACTCTATGGGCTCATGGAATGAGCGCTAGGTTTATGGCGTTTGCTAGATGTGTACCGTTTTGTCGCGGAACAATTTTCGATTTCTCAATTATTTTTTTCAAGTAGTAATTTTTCATAAGCTGAACGGAAACGTGACCAAGCTGAAGGATATCCCTCATCCTTAAACGTACATCGTAGTGCCAAACGACAGCTATTTCATCTGCATGTATACGCTCGTTTGCCGGGATCTCCTTGCGTGATTGGGTTCGGTTACGTCGCGCCTCGTCCGCTGCCGCGTCAGCCAACGTCTATGTGATGGGATCAATCAATCAGCGTTAAACAAAATGAAATTTCATCGTACACATGATCTATTGCAAAATCTTCTTGCTCTTAGCTGTAGTACAGTAATTACTTACCTCAGGCAATACGACAAGTGCAAAGATTATCAATGTAATGATCACGTTTACAAACACGATCCATCGTAAAAATGTGAAGTAGGACGAAACTACCGAACCAAAATGACCTGAAAATGTAATATATTTTTGTAGAGAGCCATAGATATTATTTGCTGGCAGGGATTTTTTCGTTGTGAGGGTTTTCATTGACAGAATTACCCTAGGGGGTCATATAAAACCGAGCCGTCACGGGTAGACATAGGCTGATGCCAACGCTCGCTCAGTTGTCTGTTTCGAACGAACCAAGACATGATTGATTTAGGAACGTACTTTCAATTCGTTTAATTTTTCCTTCCCATGGTATTAAATAGGTTTTGATATTTGAGAAATGCCGTTTCAATAAGCGCATACGCTTCCGAAACTCTTCCATATAGAGGTGCGTTCTGGAGACACGCGATTCATGTTGTTCCAAGTATTTTTGAGCGAGCCTGAAATTAAAATGGTAATCCATTAGTTGGCGAAATTAATTAGGTAACGGAGTTTAAGTCAGAAAATATCATTTCGAAAAAATTGGACCTACTTTAAAGTCCGCTTTTTGCGGGACATACTCCATGGTTGGCATCGTAACTTTCCGATAACCTCTTTCTTTTGCCGTATCCGCTCCAGGAGCACCTTAAAGGGGCAATAATCGATTTCCGTTGGAGTAAGTAATACTTACTAATGCACTAGTCAACTCTGCTGACAATTTCACTATTCTCACGTCATTTCTAGGTTGTATTGAAACTGCAGAAGATTCAAAAATATTATTGATTGGTCGAAATGCTCATGAGCGGTGTCAGTAGGAATGCTAATGAAGCCTACACATAAGTGAAAGTTCCATGGTGTCAATTTTGACAATGTCGTCAAAGAAGCGGTTCAGAGTGCTCAAAAATCAAATAATTTTTGTTTTTTTGTGCACGGGACGAGTTGACAAATGGACGAGTTTTCGTCGTCCCATAAAGCACCTACTTTATTCATCCCCAGCGTTTGCGGTATCCTAGAAGGAGGCGTGCCTGCTTCCTGTCACGCAAGAAGCGATTACGGATCAGTTCGCCGTCTCCAGTAGAGCAGGGTCAAGTTCAATGGATGTAGAAAAACTTCTTCTAAGGTTGTACTGTACTGAATCACTAAACTGTACCACTGTACTGCTCCACCACTACTCTACTGACGTTTGCCTAGCTGCCAAATTATTACTTGCGTCTCATGAGCCAAACATTGAAGCGAGGCCTATGTTTGAACTGACCTGTCTAGTGAGAGGCTTTCCATCCTCGTCAGTCTCATCCCTATGGTCTGATTTGCCAAGGAACGCATCGGTTTCGCTGTAATGGTAGCCATTAACTTCGTTCTTCTGACACTTTCTCCCTTAGTTAATTACTCTAAAACTCTTAGCAACAGTTTAGTAACACTTTTGAAACTGGTACTTCTGGACAGTTACGAATTTCTATAGGTATCTTGTCAACTAAGGCGCCTCTCGTAGGGGCAGTATCAGGCTGAACGCGAAGTTCTGACACTCCGAAGGGAAATTCAAACTTGATATTTCTCTGTTCCTACCCGTGATTCCGTAACTTCTGGTAAGCCCGTCTAACTTCCACGAAAACTTTACAGTATCAGACTCCACAGTTTTGTTCTTCAGAACGATTTGCTGGAAATGCCGCAGGACCTGCGCTTCAACCTAATACCAAGGTCATGCTCAATAATCTAGGAGTTCTGGTGGACATTGGTCAGCAACTGTACCCTACATAGAAAACACTATCAAGAAAACACGGAGCGCTTTGGTTGTAATTAGCTCAACTGTTGTTGCTATTGCTGACGCCAATGCTACCACCACCATCGGCGCCAGCCAGAGCGAAAGGCTAGCCGATCCAAGCTGAGCCAGCCGACAAACCACTGGCAGGCCGGCCGGCTGGCCGCATTGGCGGTTGGAAGACGCGCTGTAAAACGTAACGTAGACTCATCATCATGACACGTGTTAAGCGTGCTTGATCGAATTCATATCAATTTGCCTCCGATTGTAGCCCGAAATGCCCACCTACGCTGGCACCTGTGACCTCGAGCGCTTGCAAACCCGTGGAAGCCAGTTATGAAGGGCTCACTATGAACAGAGCAATCTTCAGTAGCCTGCCTATCAAAAAAATAGGAATGGAGGACATGAGGAGCCACCCCAGGAGAGGTGTAATGTAGGGTAAGCTGATGAAAAGCGGAAGATATAAAGTACTACTGGTACTGAACTAGTTGGTCATTTGTTCTAATGAAAAGTAGCGGCAGATATCACTCAATGAAAACCCATTAATTAAGAAGCATTACACTGCACTAACATTACAAGTGAACAGGGTAGAAAAACAAGAAAATCGATAAAGTTATCAACAAGTGCAAGTTACGAAACTGAACAATACGAAAAATAAAGTATTCCTTACTGATGATGAAAATGAAATTTTTCACCAAGATGATGAAAAATATCATCACGACTATGACGATTCGGATCAGACGTCGAACTAGAGCGATTAATTCTTCCCAACGTATTTTTACGGAATACAGTAATTAGATCTTGAAAAACGGATGCCCGCCGTTGTACCATGGGATGCGAGGCAAGGCCTTGCGGTAGATATTCCATTTCATCTTGTACCGGTGCTCTCTGCATGGCACTGCACGTACAAGGAAAGGGTTGGACAATATAATGGCGTATATGAGGTGTGGCGATTGGCTAGTCGATAAAACCACGTGGACTACTGTAGAATATTCAGAGTCGTATTACATAGTACGGTAATGATATGATCGAATCATAGACAGTGTGTGATAGCGAATAGGAATCTGTAATTGCGGTATCGACGACAATAACGACGACGTCACAACGATGACGCTGACGTGACCGCAAAAATTCGACGGCCAGGTACGTGAGTTGAGGTGGGAGTGAGTGAGTGCGGCTTGAGGTGGAATACAGGAACGGCCTCCGGAGCCACGCAAACAATGCTGGCAGTTTAACGCAATTGATAGCTGGTGATATGACGGGCCGACCACGCCCCCGGCGCTCTTCCATCATACCACGGGGGGCACGTCGGATCGGCTGCTGTTAGCGCTCCTTCTCCCCACTTTTCCTCCATCACCTCCTACTCGTCAAAGTGCCAAACATAAGGGATTTTCACAGCACTTCGAGTGCATGGTATTCAATCTGGTTGTGATGACGGATTGCCTCAGTGATTGGGATATGTCAACCCCGGTCTAGAGCAATTTCTCATTTGTCAGTAAGAGAATTCATGGCTTTCAGCAGGGTCTCTGTAATCCTTTCATGAATAACTTGATAAATTGGTGGTAAAGTAATCTCATCACGTCCAAGAGATCCCAGAGATCAGATCCAAAGGCCCCGCTGGATTGGGAACAATTGTGAAAAAGGCCGATATATGAGGCTCTGAGATCGCAAGGTAGTAAGTTGCTGAGCAAAGAGTACTGAGAGGTGATCAATAATCGGGAATTCCAGACAATTTTTTCACTTGAGCAAAGCAATATCGGCCTGGACAGACGTGCTCGTTGGAGCTGACTTTTTCATTACCAAGTAAAAAAAGTAGCCAATGGGCTCGTTTTCCCCTGCTTTCGGACAGACTTCAACTCGAGCTGACTTTTCACTAACATAGCCTATTTTACCAGTAAATTAGTTCTATGGGAGCGGCATGATCATCAGTGATATGATGTGCTGAAATATTTACAAAGCTCCATTTTTCAGAGCACTTTCCCGAGTTTGCAAAAATTCAGCTAGGATAAGACGCCTTCCATATGAATCATGTTTACTTCTGAATATTTCAGAGTACCAGAACTGAGCAATGTTTATACCGAAATGCTCCGAAAGTTTCCCATTGGAGCTGGGCATATATTTTTGCCACGATCTAATAGTAGGGTTATATCAACAGCCAGATAGATTAGCAACAATCGTGAAAAAAGGCAGGAACTTCCCGCTTCTTCTCAAAATGTCGAAGTCAGCTCGACCTCTACTGCTCAGTAAAAGTTGGGTTAATCTCCCCTCCCACCTCTCGCCATAATACAATTGCAAATTAGGCGATTTCCTCTCTCTTTTCTCGAGACGGAAAAGAATTGTTGCATACTAAAGAGTGGTGAAAAACTGAACTTTTACTGCTTGTACTATTCATTCCAATACTACAGTTTCACACAGTAGTGTCGAAAAGTGTCCTTTCAAGGAATCAAGTCCTCCCCCACACCGTCCACACTAATGACGACCTTCCCTGAGTACCAAGAAACGGCCCCACCTCTGTAATCAGAAACTATCCCTAAGGTGAATTTCATAGCGGTGTATACTTTATTTGAAGACGAACTGCAAAATCGTGTAAGTTCCATGGCGACTTGCACGAAAACATTTCGTGAAACCGACATGTCAATCACCAACGAGGGCGAACTTGTC